GGCGCAGGAGGAGGAGGTGGAGCAGGAGGAGGAGCAGGAGGAGGAGCAGGAGGAGGAGCAGGCGGACACCGATGATGCCAGTGGCGAAGACGACGGCAGCGGGTAGGACGACGAAGATAGGGGAGATCACTGGCAACGTCAGGGGGGGGGATCTGCTCAGGGGGGGCGCATCGACCCCTTTATCACCCATTCATCGCCGACTGGGGCCCCGCGCAGCCCACCCCGCCCAGGAACGCGCGAGTTCGCCATCGGGGGCCTATCGCCGATCTGCCGGAGATGTATCGCTGGTTTTTGTGGATTGGCGTTGCACCCGCGGAAGGCAAAGCTGATGACGAGCGCGCGGGCGAGGCGCGGTGAGGCCGCGCAACGGTCCGTCGGCATCGCAAGTATGCAAATCAAGCTGTTCAAGCTCTCTGACTCGACAAGGCATTTTGGGCGCGAGGTATAATTCCAAGGCGCACATTCCACCGAGATGGGCAATCGCATGCCAGCTGCTTGGAGGAGTTCCCACGTTTTCAAAAGCAGGCTCACGAACAAAACCTACCCGCTGCGGGCCGGGCTGCGCCTGTTCGGGAACGCCATTATTTTGCGCGCCCTCTATGTTTCCTCCTGCTGGGCGCTGACGGCGGACATGGAACGAACTTTACCAAAGACGGAGGGGCAAATGCTGCGGATGGTGCTCGGATCAGGACGGCGGCGCAGGACAATATGACATTCTTTCAGCAGCGATGCCGATCTAGATATGCACGTGGACGACGACATCGCCGATGCGCATTTCGGGCTTGACTGGTTGAAGTGGGCGACTCGGGCCATTGAACAGCAGTTGGGCCATCCAGATATTGAGAATCGGGTTGCCCTGTGCAGGCGAAACAAATGGAGATAAGCTGGAATGTTAATGGAACAGGATGCGTCCAACTGGTCTTCCTAAGTATTCCAATGGGAGCCGGGGCGGACGCAGCAGAAGCGGGACCGCATCGGAAGACCATCGAGGAGGTGGGAAGATGATTTCAATTTGATTAGCGCACGTTGCGTTGGGGATTCCAGCGACGGAAATTGGAGAGGTATTGCGGAAATTCTTGAAGCTTGGTCTGCTTCGGAAGGTGACTTCTAGATCCTCCGCGCCACTGCGGCATGCCGCTCCCCTTCTGACCCGGGCCAGCTCTCATTGCTGAGCGGGGCGCGAGTCGACGCGAGTACCCCCGTGAGCTGATCTCCCCCGAACGTTGCCCTTGAGTAGAGGGCTGGGGGAGGGGGGGGGGGGGCGACGATGACCGGCCCCCCCATTCCACGTGGCTTGACGCTTCAATTTTGCTTGTGCACGGCGAATGCGGCAGCTTAGTAGCTTCGCGATTGCGTCGCTTGGCACGTCGTCGTGCTGTCGTTTCCGCCCCCGCCCCTCTCTTCCAAACTTGTGCCGGGAACAAAAGAACGCCCCCCTTCTCATGGGGGGGTGCGCCTTGTCGCCCGCGCCTGGGCGGTCTGGCGCCTTCCACCCCAGGTGTTGAAGAATGCCTTCCTGATGCCCCCCCCCCCCCTCCCCCCCGTGGCGGGCGCGGGGCCTCTGACCGACATGCCTGGCCCCGGCGCGCGCCTGACCCAAGACGGGCAGGGCGCCTCGGCCGCAGACCGAGGAGGAGGAGGAGGAGGAGGGGGAGGAGGAGGAGGAGGGAGGAGGAGGAGGAGGAGAACGACGAGAAGGAGAAAGAGGAGGATAAGTTTTTGGCAATGACGTGGCCGGCCAGCCGGCGGCCTTCAGCTCGCGGCCACGACCCAGGCCTGAGCCAGAGCCTGAGCCCGAGCTTGAAACCTGCGCTCGAGCCCAGGCCCGAGCTTCAACCCGAGGTAGGCCCGGGCCCAGGTCCAGGGCCGAGCCCAGGCCCGAATCCGAGCAGGACGATTTGCTTTTGCATCGGCCCACGGCAATCTCCTCCACCCGCCGAGTTGATTGAGCCATCCCCCGGACCCACTTCTGACCCACAGCTTCGACGCAGGTGTCGCGGGTTGGCTCGCGTAAAAGGGTCGCGGCCCGTTCGCCCAGCGCGCGCGCCCTCCCGGGCGTTCCCCCCCAGCCGGCTGGCCCCCTCTAATCTTGCTGCTAGCCCAAAACTTAAAGGACACCCCATCGCGTTCATTTCGCCATGGCATGGAGGGATACATTACCTACGTGGAAGATAAACCTGGGCAAGAGACTACCACAGGAATCACCAGACAGCTCGCCCCATCGGCCCCCCGCCAGCCCCACGCAAATGGGCGAGCATATATACGGGCGCAGCACCGCGCTGGATGCGTAGCCGTCGGCTGGGCCAACCAAGCGAATGACGCATCGCGTGGCGGCTGGATGCCCGCGCCGAGCACAGATATTCCCGGTTCCTCTCTCCTCCTCCCCCTCCTCCGCGAGCTTAAAACTGCCATCGAAATATCCTCGCCCGCTGGCTTAAAACTACCACCGAAATATCCTCACCCGCGGGCTTAAAACTGCCACCGAAATATCATCACCCGCTGGATCAAAGCAGCCACAGGAATATCCTCACCCGCTGGCTTAAAACTGCAACCGACATATCCTCACCCCCGGAAGTGAAACTGCCACCGAAATATCCTCGCCCGCTGGCTTAAAACTGCCACCGAAATATCCTCAACCGCCGGCTTAAAACTGCCACCGAAATAGCTTCACCCACTGGCTTAAAACGGAGACCGAAATTTCCTAACCTGCTGGCTTAAAACTGCCACCGAAATATCCTCACCCGCTTTCTTAAAGCCGCCACCGAAGAATCCTCACCCGCTGGGTTAAGCAGCCAGCGAAATGCCCTCACCCGCTGGCATGAAACTGCCACCGAAATACCGTCACCCGCTGCAATGAAACTGCCACCGAAATATCCTCACCTGCTGGCTTAAAACTGCCACCGCTCGATATCATTCGATAACACATCGAGAACACCTCATGCTATCGAGGTGTCATCGAGTGTTATCGAGGTGCTCTCGAGCGCTATCGAGCTCGATCACACCCGATAGCACCTCGATAACATCTCGAACACATCTCGAAAACGTGTTATCGACGTGCCATCGGGTGTTACCGAGGTTATCGAGGTGTTATCGAGCGGGTGATGGTCACCCGCTGGCTTAAAACTGCCACCGCAATATCCTCACCCGCTGGCTTAAAACTGTCACCGAAATATCGGTTTCAGTTCGGTTTCGGACCCCCGCGATTTCAGGAATCTGCGAACGCGGCGTGATGCGACGGTGGAGGCGACGCTGATGGTTGGATGATTGTTTTTTTCGCCGCAGTGGCGTGGGTCCCCGTTCAACCCCAGGCATGGGTGGCCCCAATCTCACACCATGCACGCGCGAACCCAGCATGTGGTCTGCATCGCAGCCGCTGCCGTGCCTCGACACTACTTGCTGCGCCAGGACCCGAGGCGCCGCGTCAGAGCCCCCCAGCCAATGTGACCTCCGCCACGTGGGAGAGGAACGCCTTCGTCGGCAGGGAGTAGGTGTTGCCGCCATCGACTGAGTGCGTCTTCGTGACGGCCTCCCTGTACTGGAACTCCGCCACCCAGCGGGCCCACTTCCGCCGATCCGAGGTAGTGGGCAAGCGACCGCCAAGGCGCTTCTTGAGCCACCTCTTGAGGACCGACCAACGGTTCTCGATGTGGTTCGTCGTGAAGCCGCGCTGGTTCTTGACCTCTCCCTTGGAGTGCACGACGATCTCGTGCTTCAGGTCCCTGTCCGACCATCCATCCCTGTCCTTGATGTGCTGGATGGCCGCGATCGTGGCCCTCCACCCGTCCGCGGCGACGACCATGCCCTTGCGGAGGCCCAGCGTGTCGAAATTCGCCACCATCTCCTGCTTTCCGCGGGGGCGCCCGTCGAACGCATCTTCTGGATGCTCCAAGACTCGGAAGACGAAGTTCTCTGGGCTGCCCTGCACGACCGCGCCCCACAGCCACACTTTGTCCTTCTTGGGGCGGGTGCCTGGCGAGAGGCGGCTGACCTTGGACTTGTTCAGGAAGACCTCGTCGGCCTGCACGATGAACTTGGCCTGCTTCTTCTTGGAGATCGTCCTTTTCACGCCCTTCTTGCCCTTGGCCTTGGCCCGCTTCTTGAAGTCCTCGTGCAGCTTAGGGAGTGAGATCTTGTCAGCGATGTAAGACGCGGCGACATCCTGGAACTTCTCCATCCAGGGGCCCGCGACGTTGTGCTGCTTGCCGAGCTCGTGGACGATCTTCAAATGCGGGTACTCCTGGGCCCACATGACCATGCAGTCGAAGAATGGGAGCCAGCCCGACGCCTTGACATCAGCCAGCAAGGTGTCCTTCGTCATGGAGATCTCAAAGTCGCCGCATGCGTCGCAGCAGCCAGCACGGTCGTAGCGAGGGCCCCGCCACTGCCAGCGCGCCGCGCGGTCAGACGTCCCAGACTTGACCTTCATGGTGAACTCGGCGCCGCACTCTGGGCAACAGTACTCATCGGGCACCACGCCGAAGTGCTGGGCAAATACCATCAGCGGCGTCGTGGGGTCCTGCGGATACGGCGACATGTCCTCGATGCTGGCGTACTTGACTACGGCGAGAAACTCCTCCCTCGCGTCGAAGGCCGATGCGTCGAGCGCCTTCTTGAAGCTTTTGGTGTTGTTGTACGCGTGCGCCATGCCTGCCATCGCCGCAAACGCTCCCGCTATGCGCCCTGCTGACGCGCTCTCGAGCCAAAGCAGCTGCGGCGAGCAAAACTGATATCGCCGAGCACTGGCGCCTACAGCGACGACGACGACGACGCAACCCCTGTTTTCTCATTTCGCATATAAAGACGCATCTGCACTTCCCAGGTCAATCCGCTATGGCGCCGCCCTGGCCCGCGGCGCAACGCGTTTTCTCACATCGCATGTATATAAAGACGAGGCAACCCCAGCTCCTCGGGGACACAGCGGCACGCGCAACCTCGGCTGCGCGCGCCGCGCCCGTGTCCGAGCTGGGAGCGCCGACGCTGCCCGAGGACCCAAGAATCGCTCACACCTCATCCTCGTTATCCATGCCGCCGCCCAGGGTGGCCAGGGCCTCCGCCTCATCCCCTTCGAGCGCTTCCTCCAAGGCCTGCGCGAGCGGCATGTCTGGCTCCTCGGCTTTGGCTGGGGACGGGGGGCAGAGGTCGAGGCAGGCGCTGCTGGGCCCGAGGAGGCGCCTGAACTTGCGAGTGTCATGCGATACATGCTCCCTCTTGACGCGCACGACGGGGGCTGCCTGCGCGTCGGACACGCGCCTCGCCTGCGCCGCTTGCACGGCGGAGTCGATGAAATTCCTCTCCTGCTGCAGGAGGTTCTGCCAATCAGCAGGAGGGGTCGTGTCGCCGTTCTTGGACGCTCCGTACAAGGCCTTCCCCTCTGCTGTGAGGTACTCGCCCATGCCCTCGATGTTCTTCCGCTGCACGTCGTCCTCCTGCGTCCCCGCGGGCCGCCAGTAAACCCATTTCTTGGTGTTGACGATGAACGCCGCCCTCTTGAAGACGGCCAGGATGCACGCGGGCGTCATCTTCTCGTGGAGCGTGGGGCGGAGCATGTCGAAGAACTCCTGGAACTTGGCGTGTGGCCAGACGTCGTCCTTGACCGCGCGGTCGTCGTACGTCTGGTCAGCAACGGCACGGGGCTCCCCTTTGACCCACTTCGTGGCACCCCACCTCGCCCAGCACATGCTTTCGAATTGCCCCACATCCACGAGCGCCTTCACCATCTTCGCTGGCAGCTGGTTGAGGCAGCCGTCGTCGACGAAATCGCCCATGGTGAGGGCGCCTTGCTCCCCGCGAAGGAAGTCGATCTCAGGTGTCACCCTGATGCGCACCTTGTCCTGGTCAAGCCCGTGCACCCTTGCGTTGCGGTCGCACATGGCGAACAAGTACGCCTTGCCCAAGGGGGTCTTCCCGCAGTTTGGCTCGCCTACGAGGGCGAGCGACGTCAGCGGGTCGATGCACTCCTTCAGGATGTTCAGGAACCAGGGCTTGACATGCTTCTCGCAAAGGAACAGGTTGCGCTGGCATTCCTTCTTGGCAAGGACCCCCTCGGCCAGCACGTTCCGCAGCGCTTTGTCCACCAACGCAATCGGCCAGCCGTGCAGCGGCGCACCCTGCTTGAGCGCCTTCGTCTGCCACACCAGCTGGGCGCACTCGGAGGTCGTCCGCGGCGCGTTCTTGATGATGTATGTGAACCCAGCGTCGATATCCTCGTCGCTCATCTCGTAGAACGTGTCGACTTTGCTCGTCTGTTTCACCTCGGGGGACAGGTGGAACTGGCGAAATTGCTTGCCGCCCATGTGCTCGAATATGTATTGAAACGCGCGAACGCCGATCTTTGGGTGCTGGAAGACTAGCTTGCGGACGCTGCCGACTGCGAGCTTCGAGAACACTTGGAATTTCATCTTGGTCTTGGGTCCGAGCACGACGTGCTTGATGATTGACTTCGTGCCGTTCCCTGGGTCCAAGATGCACATCTGCATCTGGGAGTCCGCTGGCAGAGGCTCCTTGAAGCTGAACGGGAGCGGCAAGTCGTGCCAAGTGTTGTTCTTCGAAGCCTCCCTGTACTTCACCTCCAAGTCATCTGGGATCGCATCGGCGTGGCCGGTGACAAAATCGATCCAGTGCACGAGGGGGTTGTCAAGCGCAGACGCGTCAGTAGTGACCTCTAGGAACGCCTCGGTGTTACCCTGCGGGAGAACGGGGGTGACCACGCACTCTCCGAGAGGGCGGCAGTAGTAGCCGTCGGTCAGGGTCTTCGTGTCCTCGTACACCGACATGGGTTGCGGAGAGCGCTCGGCCGTCCAGGGGGGCTGCGAGCGCGTGGAAGAGCTAAGAAGTTTGAGCCGCAACAGCTACGGGTGCATGGCAAGGGGGCACGAGAGCGACACGAGGTTTGGTGCTCTGCCCCGCTGCCCCTGCCCTGCTCTCTCCCCCTCGTTCTCTCGCTCTCGCTCGCTGTGTTTTGCTGTGGCTCCAGTGACCAGAGTGGAGCTGCTCGGCAAGGCTGCGCGCGGCGCGCGTCAGCCCCAGTCGTTCGCAGGGCCGCGGGGCGGGCCGCGCTGCGCCAAGAGCCTCACTTTCTTGGCCGCCCAAGGGGGCAGGTGGTGCCTCATGCGCACCTGGAGGGTCCGCCACCAGCTCTCCCAGGGAGCGGTGGCCTTCTTGAGCGCCTCCTCGGCCTCCTCGGTCTTCTTCTCAGCCTTCTCGGTCTTCTTCTGGGCCTTCTGCAGTTTCTTCACCGTCTGCTCCGAGGCGGCCCGCGCCTCGCGCAGCTCCGCCCGCGCGCTCTTGAGAGCGGCCGTCTTCTCCGTGAGTTGCTCCTGGCGGCGGTTGGCAACCGCCTCTGCCGCGGCGGCCTGCTGGTTCGCGGCGTACTTCTCCCTGTAGCGGTGGTTCGAGCGGCGGGCCCGCGCGTCCAGGACGCTCTCGAGGGACCTGCGAGCTGCCGCGCGCGCCTCCCTAAGCAGTTTGGCCACTGCTGGCTTCTTGCCGAGGTCCTGCTCTCTCTTGGCGGCCCGGCGCACCTTGTTGTTGAGCAGCTTCTTCTCGTACGCCGGGGTCCTTTTCTTTGGGTTTCCCATGGCGTCGGGAAGCACGGGGCGCGGAACCAGTGAAACCTTGAGCCAGAATGGGCACGGAAGCGGGAGGGGAGAGGGAATGCGCAGGACAAACGAGATCAACTAGGAACTGGTGCCGTTCGTTTGCGAACTCTCTTCTGCAATTGTGGTGCTCTCGAGGGCATCAAAAAAATGGATGCCCCCATCTCATGCCGTTCTTCGCCCTCCTCCTCCTCCTCCTCTTCCTCGCTCTTCCTCGTCTTCCTCGCTCATGCTCAGAAAGAGTGTTGCGAGAAGATGGCAGGCCAGGGCAAAATGTCTGAGGCCAACTTCGAAACCCACTGCGCAACGAAGCGAACGTGGAGGAAGGGGAAGGAGATGCGGAGGAGGAGGAATACGATGGTCTCGTTTGGCTATGCCTAAACGTTTTTATTCCCCCCTAGGCCGCAGTGCTCTGGCTCCCTCCCCTTTTTCCCTTTCCCCTCTTCCGCAGCCGTCTGTGCTTCGAGCTGTGCTTTTACGGGAGGGGCCCCTGGCCCCTAATCTCATCATGAGGGGGTGGGGAGGATCCCACCCCGCCTGCTTGCTACTGCTCGCCGCGGCCGAGCTGGGTGCCTTGCCTCCGGGAGGGCGCACGGCTCCCGTGGCTGGAGCGGCCATTGGGGCTGCCGTTGGGATGGTGGGGACCGTGGACTTCGCCCCCGCCGACGGCACCGACCCCGCCCCAGAGCAGGTAGAGGAGGATGTCTGCATGGAGCCTGTGGGCTACATCGCGCCTCCCCCTGCTGGGCACATCCCCGCGGCCTCGCCCGTGGAAGACTTTCCCCCCGCGCCTTCCTCGTCGGAGTTCCCGGCTGGAGGAGGGGAGGAGGGGGGCAATCGGACGGAGGGGAGGACTCCAGATGATCATTCCTGGAGTATCCAGCGGACCCTCTCCCAGCTGGCGGAGGGGAGGGCTCCAGATGATCATTCCTGGAGTATCCGGCGGACCCTCTCCCAGCTGGACGCGCATCTCTCAGCCTGGGCGCCCCGCCGAGCCCCGGAGGCGTACGGCCGGCGCCGGCATGCCGGGGCACCTGGTGAACCCCCTGGAGAGGACCCGTTCCCGGGATGGCCGAACCGCCTCCTGGACGGCCTCTTGCAAGGAGGGGCATGGTTAGGGCTGATGATGTTCGGGAGCGCCCGCTGGAAGGGGTTCCCCCGCTGGCTCCAGTACCTCCTGGTCTTCTTCTACCTCCTCTCCGCCCTGGTGGCCTTGGACCTCCTCACCCTCCTGGCCTATGCCCTGGCCCTACTCTCACGGGGCAAGGGCCCTCTGCGCAGGAACGAAGACCCGCACCCCTTGAAGGACTCGAGGCTGGTGTGGGGAGGGCCCGCCTCGGGCGGGGCCACGCCCAACAAGTTCTTCCAGGGCTGGATCCGGGCCCGCGGGAGGCACTCCAGCCGCCGCCCGCATGAGCTGCTCGCCATCATCGAGGAGGGAATGGTCCGGATGCAGCGGAAACCGGGCTCCACGCTGCCCGCGACGCGGAAGGGAGGGCAGGTGTACCTCTACGGTGCCGTGCTGCACTGTGCGGATCCGTCCCTCCGTCAGCGGCTGGAGAACGCTCGGGAGCGCGCCGTCTACCTGGCGCGGGAGTGGGAAGCGGTGATCCCCCCAGACATTGTGGCGGTCAGCTACCACTACACCGGCGTGGAGGATGGGGCTCGTCCTGAACCTGGAGAAGGCTCTTCCCTATCAAGGCTTCCTCCTGGGCCTCGCCTGCCTCCTCGGCCGCGCCCTTGGTGGCGCCCACCGACTCCTCCGCCCCATGTCCCGAGCCATCGGGATAGACCTGCTGGGGGCGTGGTGCTGTCGCGAAAGGAGGACGGCAGCCGGAGCGGGGAAGCCCCGGGATCGCCAGCTCGAGTCGGAGAGCGAGGGGCCCACCATCGGGGCGTGTGGTGGGGACCGCTTGGGCTGGCGCCAACCCGGAAGCACCCTGGGCACCCTCGGCCTCCGCGCCCCGTGCCCGGAGCCCCCGGACGAAGGGTTCACCCTCCTTCTGGTCGAGGACGAACCCCAGTCGGACGTTACCGGATGGGGGCGACTGGGCGGGCGCGTCCTGGCCCCCCTATGCGCTCGGCACAAGCGCATGTACCGGTTTGCTCGCCAGCACCTCCACTGCGCCTTCGCGGGCCCCCCCTCGTGCGACGAGATCGGGACCCTGCAGGTGGAGGGGGGGCTCCTCTGCGCCTCCCATGCGGCGCAGTCCGCCGGCCCCCCCCAGGGGCGGCCGGGAGAGGGGCTGCCGGCCTCCTCGAAGGACCCCCCTCCGGGCCCTCTAACCCCGCTGCCTCCCATCACCCACCCGCGCGATGCGGTTGGCCGCCTCTTCCTGGGCCACATTCGCCGCGAGGAGGAAGCCCTTCGGGGGCGTGGGAAACAGCCCCCGGCCGAGCACTATCTTGTCTTCCGGGGGGAAGGGGAGGAGCCGCCAGCAGGCCACCCTCCGGGCGAGGCGGTGGTCCACCTCGCCGCCCTCGGTCTTCGCTACTCCGTCCCGATCGGTCAGATCCGTCGCCCGGGACAGGCCCTCCTCCCCCCCCCGGGAGGGATCCCTGCCTGGTTCGTCGAAGCGACTAAACCGGAATGGAGCGCCCTGACAGGGGAAGGGAAGACCCCCTCCGGAGGGGCAGGCGGGGTCCAGGAGGTAGTATTGCTGCTGAACTCCCGGGAGCTGGACCGATGGCGCCATCGGAGTGCCCGGCGGATGGACGAGGAGCCCGGCCAATCCTCGGGCGGGGAAGAGTACCCCCCACGGGGGAGGAACACCCGCCGGGAAAGCCCACCACGCCCTCCGGCGCGTGAGGGAGGGACCCCCTCCACAGGCGCCTCCCGCGACCCGTCGGGGAAGCCCTCGGCGGTGGTCTGGCTCCTCGAGGCCCTCCTCTCCGCCATCCAGGACGGCGTTGGAGTGGAGGCCGCGCTTGAGGCGGCCCAGGACTACTACGGCGAGGACCCGGACACTTGCCTGGCGTTGGTCACTCCGTGCGCGGAGGAGTTGGAGGCGACCGCCCTCCGCAACCCCGCCTCACTGGAGCGGGAGGAGCAGGCCGCCCTCGGCAAGCTCTTGCGGTACGTCCGCGAGAAGCGCCTGCTCCTGAAGGGGCAGGAGGGGCCTACCCCAGCAGGGAGACCCCCCCCGCCCTCACCGGCGCAGGCCCTCCAACCTCCGGGCGTCATGGAGGGGATCTTCACCAGCCTCCCCGAGGGGGAATGCCGTGACACGCGCCCCGCGCCGTCCGGCGGCTCGAACCCCCTCCCGCCCGCTGCGCAGTGGGATGCCATTCATGGGATCGCCCCACCAAGGGGCGCCACAGGACGCGCCGGGGCAGGGGGGAAGGGCAGGCGGGGATTTTCACTGACCCGAACACCCGCCTCTTGGTTCAGCACCTCAACCTCTCCCAGCGCATGGAGGCCGACGACTCCAAGAACGTGGAGGGCTCCCCGGGCTACCTCGAGGAAGACGGAGTGCCGGCTGGCGGTCTACACCGCCCGGGGGTTCAACGCCTTCTACGTCGCCCTTTGCCCGGAACTCGTCGGAAGGGAGCTATGCGACGCAGCCCGGAGGGGAGGAGACGGACGCTGGATGATCATGCACGAGGGAGGCTGCCCCGTCCTGGTCGTGAACCGGATTGCCTACGCCATCGCGGGGGGATTCTGGGGGGGCCGCGACCTGGAACGGATGGCCAAGTGGTCCCTGGGAGCATCGGACTTCCCGCGGACCACTCGGGAGGAGTTCGAACGGTTCATCCCGCGCTCGGACCCCGCCCACATGGAGAAGCGCCCCGCCTGGACCAAGATCCTCGCCGTCTGGACCGACCAGGCCCACCGGAGCATCACCACCTTCTGCCTGTTCTACGGCCAAGACCACGAGAGGGAGAGGCGGGGCGCCTTGAGGAGGTTGGTGCAGCTCAACCTCGATGACCCCAACCAGTGGACGGAGGGGGACCTCCTCGCGATCTGGGAGGAGCTCCACTGGGACGTCCGACTGATCGTCCAGCGGGCCCTCCGCGACCTCAGAAACCAGAACCCCACCGAGGAGGAGTTCAGGCTCCACCTCTTGGAGGGGCCGGGAGGCCAGCCGCGATTCCAGATGCCCCTCTCCTTCCAGCTGGACCACCCCAACGGGTTCTTTCGAGCCCGGGTGGTGTCCCGTAAGTCTTGGGAGCAACGGTCCGCCCTGTCTGCCCTCTCGCGGACGAGCAGAGCGAAGGCGCCACCCCCGCCCCCGGCGGGACGCGCCGGCCAGGACGACAACCCGCAGTGCCCCATCGGCACGGCCCTGGAGGCGGAGGAGCATAAGGCGGCCCTGGCGGGTGTCCCTAAGAACCCGCAGGGCAAGAGGATTTGCGCCCCCTTCAATTGCCACAGGACGTGTTGGCGGGGGAGCGGCTGCCGGGACGCCCACCAGAAGATCAATGATCTGAAGGGCCTCCCCATGGAGACCAGGTCGCTCTTCTTCCGCTTCGGAGGGTTCCACGAGCTCCCCCTCGTGACGCCCGCGGCGGTGGATGCCCGCATGGCTGCGCTCCGGAAGGGACCGAAGCCCCGCCCGAAGACCCGCGGCGGGCAGAACGCCAACCGGGGCACGGAGACACCCCCGGGGGGCCCCCCCACCACGGGGAGGGGGGAGCCCGAGCAGAGCGCCACACAGGCGCCCGCCCCGGGGGTGCTGGCGTGCATTACCTGCCCGCGCCGCACGGCTTGGGGCACGCTCGACTTCGGCCAGTACCTCCACCCCACGGGGCCCCATGCCCATCTCATGCGGGAGAAGCTGGGGCTGCAGGAAGGCGAACCGGAGGGAGGGCAGTGCATGCTCCTGAGCACCGCCGCCTCCTCGCTGCGGCGGCAGCACGGCACCCCCCCTCATCAGGAGGAAGTGCACGCCCTGGCCACCCGCTACCGGGCGGAGCTGCTGGAGGCGGCCGGCGATGCGCCGCCGGCCTCCAGTTCGCCCCTGGACGACGCACTCCGGGCG